AATTAAATCGCGCTACACAAATACACACGGGAGGTGAGGAGGTAACATTTTGAGGATCGATATGTTGCACGAATTTTAAATTGCACGTCATTTAGGTCAGCACGCGAAGCTGAAAGGGCTAATAACCCAAAGGTCTTCTCGTGTGTTAAATGCGATATAAATAGAGCTGTCGCTCGCTCATCCCCCGTCGCTGTGTCTAACGACCTTAAAGAATGAAAAAGTAATTTGAATTAAAAGGGTGTACACCAGCTTTGTAAATTTTTTCACAAATGGAAGGGTGATTAAATTGTCGATGAATTTAATTGAAAAGATTTTTAGAGAGAGAGAGAGAGAGAGAAAAGAGAGAGAATGAAACTGCAATTTTGCAATTGATAAATTACGAAATACGCGATATACAAGTTGTAGACACGGAGAAAAAAGGCGAACAAGTTGATTCGAAACCATCTTCGAAAGGGGGTGGGACGGGAAGGAAAAGGAAAAGAATCCAAGAAAGGAAAAATACTGTTTGCCGAAGGATAGGGGCGAAAGAATAGGAGAGAGAGAGAGAGAGATAGAAATGGAAGATCAAGGTGATGACCAAGAAAAATAAAAAGAGACAGAAGGGGGGAAATGACAAGGGAAGATAGAAAGAAAGAGAAAGGGGATTCGCCCTCGTAGATTTCGCGACGCAAACGGGGCAAGCGCGAGACGATCAATTACGTAACCCGATAAAAGTAGGTCACGTGTCAAAGTGCGGAGCCATCCCCAAGGTGTCCAACTTTTTGGTATAAGCTCGTAAATTACCAGTCAGCTAGCTGCTGCTACCCCCACGGCTTTAAATAGAACGTTGGCAGAGGTTCCTGTCCAACTATCTATCCCTTTCCCCTCTCCTTTCTCCGTTTGTTTCCCTCCTTCTCCCTCGGCCAATCCTTCAATCCTTTGCTTTCTCTTTTTCGCTCTTATTCAAACCTCCCGTCCCCCTTTATGCCTCTCTCGTCTCTCTCTCTCTCTCTCTCTCTCTCTCTCTCTCTCTCTCTCTCTCTCTCTCTCGTTCCTTTATCACGTAAGTGTTCATTTCGTGGAACACGGGGCAAAGTTAGCAGGACACGTAAGTCGCCGGTCGTTAGTCGTCAACGACGATAGCTCGTCGAGTTACCAAGAGAAGAAAACAAGAGAAACAAGAGAGGGAGACTGAGAAGTCTTGGACGAGATGGAAAGAGAGTCAAAGGGAGTGGAAGGAAGAGAGGAAAGAAGAGAGGGGGGAGGGGGAGGGAAAAAGAAAATTCCTGTGTACCTATTCCAGTGCGGATCAAACAGAGACAGATAGAAGAGACGGTCTCTTTATGTGTGGAAGTATTCCCGTGCAGACCAGGCGATGTGAAAGAGGAAGAGAGAGAGAGAGAGAGAGCATGACGGCAGGAAAGCTAAGACAATCAATAAGATCGCCGGGTCCGAAGGAGCTCGTGCTCGGATTCGTCGAGTTGCTTCGGTACTTCTTGCCAGGGACCACGGGGCTCGCGTTTAACGGCTAAGTCGTTGCCTATCTTCGTTAAACGCAACGTCCCGAATTAGGACGATAGGCCCGAGAAAAATGGACGTGAAAGGAACGAAGACGGGCGAAGGGAGAGGGGGCGAAAGGGCGAGGCGGAAAAAAGAGAAACGCGCGAGAAAAGTAAAGATAACGGAGGAGCAGGGAATTAGGAAGGATAGGGGCTTTTTATAGAAGAAGGAAGAAATAGGAAGGAAGGCGAAGACAGAGAGATGGAGAAGAAGGAAGTTGATATCTCGTGGGGTCGATATCTACCTACCTACCTACCTACCTACCTATCCACCTCTAGTCACCGGATAGAATCGGATAGCTGAGGATAGAGAGGGACAGACTAGGAAAGTCGTTCGTAGTCGTGTGTGTATGTGTGTACAGGACGGCCAAGCAGCGACGCCTCGTACAGGGGATGCATTCCGACGTTTGCACGAGGATAGTAATTTCTGAATACCGACCACTAAATTCCGACGATCAGTCGTCGTCTAGCAGCGGAGAAATTACGATTCGAGATCCTCGCGATTGCCCAGGCTGGTTCGACCTTCGAACAGAAACGAGATCCCTGGGAGATCGATAAAGGGGAAGGAAATAGTGGAAAGACCTTTTGCTCGAGGGTAGAAAAATTGTTAAGCCTGTCCTTCTACCTACGCAGATGAGGGAAAAGTATGGAGGGATGACAGGATCGCCGCTCTGGCGGATATTACCGGAACTACGAATTATCCCCATCGGGGCTTACCCGCCAGGGTGCAGTTCTTTCGGGAGTGCTTCAATCGAGGGTTGCAAGCTCGAGTCCTACACCGTTCAAGCTGGGCTGTGACACCAGTCGATAAGGAAGACAGCCCGTTTAACAATGGTTTCCGGGAAGGAAGTATAATTCCTCGTAACAGGTATAGTTGTTGCTATAGGAGAAAAACGATTCGTGTTAGAGAAGTAGCGAATCGATGGATTTATTACGACATTTCAACGTTCAAATTTATTCCGCTATTTATTCCATCTCCACTTATTCCACTTTGTTCTAATTTTTTATTTATACGCCACCGTGTTCGATAAGTTGACGATACGATACGAAAAAAAAAAAAAAATAAAGAACAATGAAAGACCGATTCTACTTACAACGTACGTACGTACGTAACTTATCATCGATAGGAAACTTTCGCTAGACGAAAGAATTTTCAAGGAAACTTTTATGCCTCTTCTTAACGATCAAGTCTAAAACTATAAACTATAAACCTCGATGTCGTAGGAACTTGCGTCGATATCGACTTTCGTGGTACCGTTTCCTATTTATTTCTCATTTATCTCGTTCCCTTTTCGCGTCGGAGGCCCCTTTTGTTTTATATTGGATATATTCAGAAAAAGAAATACACGACAGGCACAGGCGGTATACAGGCGACGTTGAAACGTTTCAAAAACGCATCAGATCGTGAAATTCCAGCGAGTCGAGAAGAGGGTGGTTTCAAGATCGAAACGGTCGCCCTACTTTCGGTAAAAGCATTATACGGACCTACATGCGTGGATTCGAAGCAAAACATTTTTTCCAACCCCGTTTTCCAACCCCGCGCCGTACGTAACTAGAAAAATGAGAAATAGCTCCTGGGTAAAACAGTACATTTCCACGATCCCGATCTATTATTCGCGTACAAAAAAAAAAAATTTCGTTTCGATTTTTATCACCTTCGCACAATTCTCGCAATATCTTTGCAAGTAGGAAATTTAACTTCCTGTTCATAGTTATAGTTTGCCGCTAATCAACTTTCTGACTCATGCACCAATACACAGTCGTAAAATGTTTCGAGACGAATTGAACGCGGATACGTGTATTTCTGTCACGCTATGTATATTCCGACGACTGTGTGTAACTAGGACTGCACGTGCATATATTCAATTCTGGAAACATGGGACAAGCGAGTCACTTCGGAGAGCGATAAAAAGGGAGGAGAGGCCTTTGACGACGAAAGAATGGAACACGTGACGTCGAAGTTCAGGATGAAAAGGGGAGGAGGAGGGAGAGAAAGAGAGAGTGAAGAAAAATTATACGACCGTGATAGCGCGCGCGCCTCTCGTAAGCCGGATAAAAAAAAAGTTTCAAGGAGGTCTCGGAAATGGATCTCTTTTTTTTTCTCAAAAGTTTAACTAGATTCCTGCTTCAAGTAACTCAACCTTGACGTTATAAAAAAAAAAAAAAAAAAAAAAAAAGCCAAAGAGAAACGATCCCCTTTGGCTTAAACTCCGTTTTTTAACGCGACCGAACAGAAAGATGAAAAAAAATAACTTTGAGCGTTAATTAAATAACACTTAACCATTTCCACGAGGATACAAAATTTTCAGAATCTAACGATGAATCGATGAATGTATGCATACAATTAAGTTAAGGGAGGAAGAACGTACGAACATTTAATACGCTTATTTCGTTCCCTCGTCGTCATGTTAAAAATTCATTAATACTAAGTTAAAGTAATTGTTTCCCCTGTCATAGAAGTTAATATAAACTATGTATAATTCATGCGGGCTTAAACAGTTTTGATTCCAAACGAAATTCGATCGATGAACTTCGTTTAAAATTTAAATAAGGGGAGACTTAAAGGGAAAGAATTACGCCTCGTTCCGTGAAATTCAATGGTGTTATGGACAGAATTTTGAATAAATTCTCTCTCCAACGCGAATTCGATTCGTTGAAAAGAATAATAAAATGATTTCTCGAAAAAAAAAATATATATATATATTTACGTGTACTCCTCCTTCGATTTTACGAGTCAAGCGTATTATTGTATCATTTCGTTCCGTGCCTCGAAACGTATCAAACTTTTCTTTTGTCTTATCTCTTTAATTAATCTAGCCAATACATACACAACGAATTCGCATCGTCACGAGATCGCCAATTTGCTAGAAACTTTTATTAGAATGGTTTATCGTGTTGGAAGAACGTGTGTCACGTTGGAAATATTCTTTTTTAGACTAAATAACGTTTCCTAATATCGACAAAAAGAACGACGGAAAAGATCGTGAACAATCGTTGAAAGGATAATAGAACAAAAAATTATCGTTTCGTATATATATCTCCTTTATCGAACTTGATATAAAAGAAACGTTCGTGGAATGGAAACACTCCGTATCCCATTTCTTTGGAAATCAACGCACTTTCTCCGAATATTTGATCGACTATAACCGAAATCACGATCCCATCGTATCGTTCTTTTTTAGAGAGATCAACAACGAATAAAACGATTCCATGGAACGAGGATCGTTCCAATCAGAAGCAAACAGAAACATAAAGCTATAACTTCATAAACGTTTCCATCGACTGGAAACCTGACGATCGTTGTGGAGAGTTGGTCGGTCGTTTCCTTTTAGCGCATAAACAGCAAGATAAATTATTGGCACGAGAAGAAGTACGTCCGACAGAAGGATAAATAATTCACGGGAAGATCGGTAAAGAACTGGTCTGTCAAAGGTAAAAGGAAGTAACGGCGGAAGTACTTACCGGAGATGGGATCCGCGCCATCGAGCTTCCTGTCTAAGGAGACGTTCTCGTGAACTGCTTCCTTGCTCGTCCTTGGACGACATCCAGGGTTCGATTCACCGATCCCATCTTGGCTCTTGTGATCGTTTCTAAGATGATCGTTTCTCTCGTTCGACTTGGAAACTCCGCTACCAACCACAACCTTCGTCGACGCTTTGCTACCAATTGCCCCGGAGTTCCCGTTCAGGTTGCCGTTAATATTGATGTTGTTACCGTTCGCGGATGAATGATTGTCAGCCTGGTGAAAAATGTTGGATGTCTTCTATGGAACCTTGTCGTTACATCGCGAGAACTTTTCTATTCATCACAATAAAACATTTACAAACCAACATGTACTCGACAAAAACAAAAGAACGAAATCCTGCTAATTCTACTGCAACTAAAATGGAGGGGAGGAAAAAAAAAAGAAGAAGAAGAAGAAGAAGAAGAAGAAGAAGATCAATTTTTTTTCTCGAAGAATAAGAAGATAGTTGTCAACCAAGTTATCCAATAGGAAAATTCAACTTGTTCTCGTTCGAAACGTACAACGAATTAATCTACTCACCGTGGTAGTCATGCAGGTCGAGGAGGACGAGCGCACGACGACGATACGATTCTGATTGTGATCATTGGAGGCAATCGTGGACACAGCGGCGTGATTGGCGAGCCCATGGGTCTCGTGAGCGTTATTGGATCCAACATTGGAATTGGTGTTACCGGTAGTGACGTTACTACCGAGGGAAGTCTGCCTGATCACCAGAACGCTGCCAGCCGGCTCCAACACAACTACTTGCCTCATCCTCGCCACCCCCTTTTAAGTCTTTCTTGCCTGTTACTGACGAAGAAGGAGAACGTGCACAGGTTGCACGAAAGCTTCCTTGAAAACGATCCTCCTTCCTCGGCTGATCCAAGTATCCGACGGGAAACGCGTTCTCCAGCCTTCTCCACCCCTTGGTTCTTAAAGCTCCAGCGCGATTGCTGCCACCTGCTCCTCCTGTACACACGTACACCAAGATACCCGATATTAAAGCTGTCGTCTTAAAGGATGATCCTACTTTCATCCTATTCCGTGTCAAGGCTTTCTCTCTCTCTTTCTCTCTCTCTCTCTCTCTCTCTCCCTCTCTTACGAACGTGTCATCCAAGCGTGTACCAGCGTGGCTTCTTTCGGAAGGCGAATCGATGAGATTATTTTGCCATCCGCCCGTGTCTACCTTTGACGATCGTTTTTTACAACCCGTTTTGCTAAAGTATCGATGGTTACGCTTAACGCCAGTTAATAATGCCTCCATTTTAAATCCGATACGTTCGACGGATAGTAAACATGCGACGTTACCACGGGCTTCGAGATTTCGAATACGAAATTTTCCAACCTAATGTAATAAACTCTTCGGGGAGAATATCTATAATTAATTCGATTTTACGAATCGAAAATCGTCTATTCACCGTGGATTCTTACGTGGTTCGAGATTATTTTGCATTTGCGACAATTGATGTTTACCAACGATGAAGAAACGTGAGAAAGGTTTCGGGAATGAAATATATTAATGGCCAGTTATCACAGGAGATTTCGTGGACTCGTGATGGATTGCTCGCAAAAATAAGAAATGAATATACACGAGCTCGAAGCATTTGAAACCGCTCCAAATAACATCGCGATATTAAGTTCTTGGATCAGAAACACGCAAGGGTGTTGCGTGTTGTATCAAAAAATCACATCTGGAGAAACTGTATCTTTTGAAATTAATATAATTTCTTTTTATACCAGCGATTTTTCCTTGATACAGGTGGATCGGATTGCATAATCGATCGGATACATTTACCTCTGTATGTATTCCGAATTTTCGAACAATCGTACAATCATGTACAGATCTCTAAAAATGCGATTCTATTTTTTATAATCTCGTAGCTAGTTGGCTTTCCAAAGTTGATTCTAGTTGGCAGCCATTATCATATATGCGATTCTTGGCAGCCATTATCACAGATTTAGCCAGTAAAACTGAGTCAAAGTCTTCCGAAAAACGATTCCATCACACGAGAGATTTGAAATTATTCGAATAGGGGTAGAAGCGTTGCCAGTTTTTCGATGAAATTTCAAAGATAATATTCCGAAACGAATTATCTTTTTGATTGAAAAATAATCGATTTTCCACTAGCGTCTCTTAATCCTTAATAATGATATTTTTTTAAATTTAAATTCACGTCATCCTTGATTTTTCTTAATTCAATTTCAAACTCGATATTTTGTGCAATGCATTTTCACTATCTCTCCATACAAATTTCTCCTATATCCTCTTGTAATTGTAATTTACAACATACACCTAATATATATATAAAATATAACATAAAAAATAATCACAACGGTTTTAATTGTGTACAGTTAAAATCATGAAACTTCACCTGTTTAACATGGTGTAGTTGTGACAACATGTTCGAGTGTCCTACATTTGCGGATTCACCGATCGATAGTGAGCTTTGTGTGTATTTCGAAACAAATATCCCTGTAATGGTACCGATTAAGTTAAACATACGTTTCGATCGTTTGGCAATGATGGCAATCATAAAAAGTTTCTGAAACACCCTTTGAACCTGTTCTCAGAATGGAACATCCATTTTTCCTCTCGTCCGAAAATCGACGAAAAGACGACGATAATTCACAAAGGAACACCATCTACTCGAAATTTCTACCCTTCTATCCTCTTTCAGCTCCTATTCCTCTCCCTCATCCCTCCTGGTAAACTTCGACTTCGTCTCGACGACAGTTACCTTCCCTTTGAGGAAAGCAAACTTAATTTCCGGCTCGGGGTTATGTTTCACGAAAATCGATCTCGCGATTCGAATCCTAGGCTAAATCTAGAGAATCTTCACGATACTTGGCTTACGCTTACTTACTAAATTCGTGGCTTATTAAACCGTGGGATCGAATGGAAATTAAATTATAGACGTTAAATCGTCCATTCACGAGCTAAAACTATTTACGAAACAATGCGAAGTCCGTCTGATCGCATTTCCTGCGAAATTTCCCTTCTCGCTCCAAAGTCCATAACGACTAAGTACTCGAGAGAAGAGACTTGTCTACTCTCTCGGAATTTCGTCATTCTCCACGCCCTTCCACCCTCTTCTCTCTTCCTTTCCCTTCCTCTATCTTTACTGCACTTGAGAGTTTGGGATTCACCTTGGAGACAGTTACCCTCTTGCTCTCCTACTTTGAGAGCAGAGACCCAATTCTCCAACGCATTTCAACCCTCGTAAAATACGATCCCGCGCGGGAACGTTACACTCTACGATAACTTCCCTATCCCACCGAAGTTAACGCTTCTTGATTGGATAATACGAGATTTTCGACTTGCTCCTATCCCTGTAATTAGATAAAGTTCGCTCAGTATTGGAAAGAAGAAGGTAAAAGGTCGGTTCGATATTGAAACTCGTGACGCGAGTCAAACTTACATTTGTTTCGCAATCGCAAAATTAATCGATTTAACGGTTGACCAAGCGCCGATAATCTCGTAACAAAAGACGTTAGAATCGTACACACGTAGCCACGTGGCTCACAAAGGAACACAATCTACGAGGAATTTCGTCATGGTTTCTCGATCGTTCAACCATCCTCCACGCCCTTCCGGCCCATTATACCCTCCTCCTCTTCAGCCTCTTAATATATATATATATATCTCGCTCGCTTTAACTTTGCGATTCACCTTGGAGCCAACCACCCTTCCTTTGAGACGCAATGACCCAGTTTCCTTCTCCTCGTGAATCGGGAAATTCGAGGCATGAATTTTGAAAAAAGACGCCTGCGATACTTGTAACCAGTTTACGAGCACTTCTCGGGACATCGCTTTTGAATAACATATGATATCGGAAACGATATCTTTCCTCTTCTACCTTTTCGACGGAATAACGAATTAATTGAAAATTCCGCACCGTTAATCGTGAAATTTCACTTTTTGAAGAATTGAAAGTTGAAATCGAAACGATCGCCGACCGATGAATCAATGAAATACTATTCCCGCGAAATTTTTTTGATGACGTATACGTCTTAAATGGATATACGGCTTCGAAGCAGCCATTCAGAACCATTAATTATGCAACATTGTTCATGATTCTCCTAAACAAGATATACTTTCACGCGAAAATGTGGTGATATGTGAAACTACCTTTTGTAGTGTGTGTGTGTGTGTGTGGAATCAATTTCATGTGTCGCGTGTCGATTGATATAACATAAACATCGAGAATAACAAAAGCCGAAGGATGATTTTCGAAGTGAAATTTCCATTGTGTTTTTCGGAATTTCGAAGAAACATAAATCATGTTTATGAAATGAAAATTCGTGGAATTTCGCGTATAGAAATCGATAGAGAATGCTTATTTTTCTACGTGGAAAACAAGCGAACTCCCACGCGTACCACTGGAATTGCCAACAAAATGCGTTTCTTTTCTTTCGGTTGGGATACATCGTTCGGCTTTATGTTCCTTCCATTATTTGTTTATTCTACCTTCGAGAGGAACCGACCTAGTTTTCATTCCAGATGGGCATACAAACCGGAAAATGGAAAGCGATGGACCTGAATTTTGGAAAAGGACTTTCGTCCGCCCGTGTATTTCTACAAAGGATTTTATTCTCGTTTACCTTGAATATGTATGTATTTTTATGCGAATCCGGAACGGATAAAAGTTACAGAGTGCTACTGCAAAAATTGCGAATATATAACGTCCACTCGAAAAGATTGAATTTGAATCGGGAAAAAAAGCAGAGTTTCGAAAACGACAGAATTTTTTTTCGCCTCTACTTTTTTCCCTTTCTCTACTTTTCCCTTTATACACGAGATATATTTACGGAGAGGATCCTCGTTGCTACGATAATTGGTAATTCGACTATATAACGCAATTAAAAATACGCATTGTTAAATTAATGCCTTGGATACGCGTTGATTCAGCTCGTTAAAGGCAACACAATTTACGTATATTAGTTCCGCGCAAGCAAGGTAACATTCGCGGCGCAAAAAGCGTTTGCTGTTTTTGCGCTGTTTTCCTAACCAAACAACATCTCTAGACAAAGTTTATGCAAAAGAGTGGAACATTTTATCCGATGCAAACTCGTCGTTTGCCTCTAACTTTGCCACACATTTCAGTTTGCCTAACATTAATATCGCGAACAAATGCACACAACATCGTGACTATCTCCGCTGTTTTTCAACCCAAGAGACTATTACCGGATGGAAGTTACGGCTTTCCGAGTTTGTTACCGTTACAAACTAATTTCTTCAACAACCACTGAAAACTCTTGAAACTCGATATCACCTACACACCACACACGACACGACACTAACACGAATCACAGTTTAAAAAACGGAAAGGAGAAGAACTGTGTCGGCAGATATTTCCTCGTACCACGATCGGAAAGAGAATGGAGGATTCCTCTTTTTCAAAGTTGACGATAACTTCCGCGAGCAATACTTTCAAGAGCAAGGTGAATCGTTCACCAGCTCGACCTCGACTGGGCGAGATAGGAAGCGGCGGGACAGCCAGTCGAGAAAGTGAAGGAAGTCGTCCCGAATCGTGTAGAGGTTTGTCAACAAGTTACGTACGCTCGTACGTACGTGTGTTATGTACGTTCGAAATCGTGGCGCGAATATAAACCGTAGCCAGGGAAAATTGATCGAGTTAGATGGGTATTATTCACGAACGAGGAAGTGCATTGTGAACGGCAATAAATAAAAATCCATAGGAACCTCTAAATTCCACTTTTCCATAAAATATCGAGACTTACGCGAAACGGTAAATACGCGCACCTCGTATGCAAAAATTTTCAAAGATTTATTGCAAAGGGACGTTGAAAATAAGACTTCTTGATATCTTACGGTTTTTCTTTTTTTTTTTTTTTTTTTTTATCGAAATAATTGAAAGTCCCGACACGCGATTGCGTATCGAACGAAATAAATTTGAATAAGTTAATTTTATTCCATTCCGTTCGTGAATATTAATCACGTTTCTCCTGTTTGAAAAGAAAAAATCGGATATATCTTCGAAAATCTGATCTGTTGATCGATTTCACAAAAGTACGATCATTTAATGCGTTACGATATTAACGTTAATTTATAACATTGTAATGGTACATTAACGATGATCGTATTAAGAATGAAAATCGTGGCGAAACAGGACGATTATGGGAGAATGGCGAAACAAAATGACCTCGCACGCCTCTATTTAACGCAACGCAAAAATAGATCGGCTTTTTCCAGCAATATCATTTCCCACAGCAATACCAAATTGCTATTAACGTATTTAATCACGTTACATCGTACGTTTTTCTGCAAATCATTCACATGCGCGAAAAATACCGTACGCTATTTATATTCGATACATGCCGAACATTTTCGTGTCATTCCGATAAAATAAACGTTATTGCAAATCGAAACGAGCGGAAAACGCGTGCCGAAGAGCATTTATTTCGATGGGACAAAGTAGATGCATTTCTATATACGCTATTCACAATGTTTCGAAGCATATTTCTCGTCACGAAAGGAGTCAGGATACAGTGTACCATATATGTTTTACAATGACATTACAGGAAATGATAACGGATATGCGCGTTTCCGCATCGAGCGATACAAAAGTTGCGTTAACGTTATTTAAATTATTAAAAAAGAAAAAGAAATAGAAGAAGAAGAAAAATAGGATAATCAATTTTTATATTTAACTTAGAGAATTAATTTACAAGATTGCATTAGAGAATATATAAAATTTGCTCACGATTCAACTATCATTCCCTAATTATCGCATGCTTCAGCACCACGTGATTAGCAATCACTTCCCTATCATTGATCCAACGTATGTTTGCTACAGAGTCATTTAGATTTTAGCAGTAAAAATCTATTAATTTGGCAATCCAGATATAAAAAGATATCTGGCCGAAAATAATCTAAGATTTGACATCCACTGGTCGATATAAATAACTATATTGACTAAACGACAATTCGGAATAAAATTGTAATGAAACATGCGATTAGATGCGAAGTACGAACAATACTAGCGAAAATCTTTACCGATTTTTAAATCATTTTATCTAACGACCTTTTATATGTCATTTTACTATCTTCCTTATCAAACCAATTGTTCGCGACATTTAGAATAATTGAACTTCTATAATTGGAATCAGAGAACATATAATGAATTTTTAGAACACGCCTTCCAAATGGAATGGAATTTGATTATCACTGAACAGCCTTGGGCACAAAACCAGTTGACAAGCACTCGTGATATATAAATGTAAAATGACTTCACAGATTTATCTATATCTCAAAAATGAAAAAAAAAAAAAAAAAAAAAATATCCAAGATACATGTATCCGTAAGATACAAAACGGTTGATTCTGAATGTGATCAAATCTGACGTTCCGTAGACAATACATCGACCTAATTCCTTTTAAACAAGTTATCGATACCTTGGAGGATACTAAAAATGTACTTTATCTGGAGGCGCAAAAAAGAAACAAAAGTTGGGCATAAAACCAAGCTACGAGAACTCATTATGGTAACTATTGAACACTTATCGATCGTCAAACAATGGAATATGATGTTAGAGATTACAATAGTCTACTCTGGTAAGCTATCGTTCGAAGATACATATTGAGAGGCAAAAGCGTATTTCTAACACTATAGCTCGATTGGATTTATCGATTTAATCGGATCTAATTCCGCTGATGATTGAAGTGAGCCTAAGCGTGAAACTTTGTATCTTTAACATACTACACAACAGGTATCCCTCGTATGTGAATGCACCTACAGTTCTATTATTATCGTTGCACGTGCCGTTCTATCGGCAGATAACCGTTATATACGTTCGATAGTAGTCTCACATATAATGCTCTATTATATTTATTTGCTTTTTAATAATGCACATTTGCGCACAACACTCATCGTAATTTATATGACAAGTGTACGCGTGCAGGTGTTGTGTAGCCACGCTGTATAATCTTGGTATTGTGTACAATTTCTAAGCGTCCTACACAATGCCAGACACAATACCGGTTATACATATATTGGACTCAACAAGTCCAAAGAAGTTTGTGTCTACTTTTACTTGCATTATCCGTGCCAAGAAATCTTATATATACATATATATGTACATATCTACAATTGTTGTTAACTAAAAAAAAATATAAAAAAAAGAAACAAATTAATATAATTAATAGTAATAATATAATTAAAAGTAAAATAAATATTAAACTAAAAATAAAATAGCACTTATTTACAGCAATTCAAAAAGTGATTCAATATCTTATACTGATATTCAAATAACTTACAAACATATCCTCCAAGCAATAATATTCATGCGGATTATCACAGAAAATTAATATAAAATGTGATAAACAATCAGATATCGGTAGCTTTCGTTTTTCCCTAAAAATATTCAGTCCTTTGTTCATCGTCCAACGTGTACATCAAGCACAAGGTTTCCTTAAACAGAAGATTATAACTTGGCTTCTAAGTATACTTTGAATCGACCAGCTTTTCACCTCTAAGGCACTACTGTCCGTTTTGTCTTTTAATAGTTTCTGCTGAAACTTAAAATTTCAACCGTCTCACTGGCAGAATATCGATTATCGTTTCCGATGTAGCGCGATAAGATGAATGATAAAATATCCGATATATAAAAACGAGATAATACGATGTTGGTTTATTATAGTTAACAATTCAATGCAGAATGAAGCCGTAAAGATGACTCGTATCGGTTACGATAGAATAGTAGAACTACAAGTGGCAGGAAACACATATAACAACGTTCTTGATAACAGCTGATTACGATGAGCTCGCCCAGACACAATGGTCGTCGTTTAATGAACCACGTTGCACGCTGACATTTCAGTACACGATATATTATTATAAATGCTTCCATTTCCCGCCAAAAATAATAATTCAAAGATAATTCATTTTTTATCTCATTGAATTATTATATATTATTAATAAAATTCTATCACATATTTTATTAGTACTTTCAAGATGTTTCATATAATCATGATACGAACATACCAATCACAATTATTCATTTGGCATAATCGGAGCCATCGATTCGAGAAATAATACGTGCCGGTATATAACAAAAATTATAAAATTCTCAATACCTTCGTTTATGCCAGAGTTGCAGGTTTACAGTATGTACTAAAAATAGCGGTACCCATAAAACTGCTCGGTGAAAATCGCCACGAGACCTCGAAGACGTGGCACATACAATACGCAACCGCGTATGTAACCTATACACTAACAATCCGATCAAAAATCAAAAAATTTTCTTTCCACTAAAAGTCACTGAAGCGAAAAGTAATCATGGGTAGAAAAATTATCGGTCGCGTACGAAAAAATTTCTACAAAACTAGACATTCCGATACTGAGACAATATAAAACATAGATATGAATCGTAGCATAGAATGTATATCGTATTGTTTATTGCGATTAAATATATATTTTATCGAACGAAATGATTCATTTTATCAAATACTTACGATATCTATGCTCCGTGTGACAGAAGACCCGTAACCCGTATCAAGAGGATTCATCTTGAGACGATTGTTTACACGACGCCAACACTTGGATCAATGCAAAATCACCACTTTACCATCGATTCATAATCGTGCATTACTTTTGTATACGGATTTCTCGATGTATCGTTGATTTTCACGCATAAAATCGTGCGATCACGCGTGCTTGCGTTCGCGGTCGATCCTTGGAATCCATGACAGGTACGAGCACGGGTATGGCTACGAACCGCATGCGCCAAAGCAGAAGTTATCACGTTCTACCACCAAAGCAAACGAATAATATGTAGATGAGAAACTAAGCTTCAAATTTAAATTTCTATTTCAAATCCACACCGATTGATTTGTATACACTCGAAACCTTCATTAATCCAATAGATTAAAACTAATTAGGACATGTCCCTTTGCCTCTTTTTTTACCATTAGTATTCATGACAGCATTCAATTTATTGTGCATCAAATCAATTACTTAATCAATTATGAAAAAATATAATCTTTAATTTTAAGGAACAATTTATAAGAATAATTAAATCTATAATTTATTTTCATTATTACGTACCTATTTTTCTTCGTTAAAATATGAAGTAAAAATATCACGACATAATTTTTATTGAAAAATAAGCAAAATTAAATCTTGACATATAATTTTGACTTCCGGTATAAATGTCTATATAAATTTGTAATTATAAATTTCCTATTCAAAAATGTAATTTAAATTGCAACTATTATATAAAAAACCAATTTAAAAAAATATTTATTATACTGTAAAAATTCAAATAACAAGTTAAGAAATATATATTAAATATTAGTACATTAGATTAATTTTAATTTCGATATTAATGAATCATTGCGCATACCTAATCGCGTCGATTTGACTTACATGATTTGACTCTACTTGCAATTTGAATTATATCCGTTAGTTATTTCGCGGATTTTTACAAGTTGCATTATCGAAACGCAATTTATTTCAAAAAAGAAGTTTGAGATGATATCGCAATTCTTGGCCTCCTCACTGCAAAAACAATATGTAATATGGTGAGTTTATACAATTATTATTAATTATTACAAAAAATTTTTAGTGAAATAAAAAAAATAATAATGAAAAAAATTTCTAACTTTAATATTCTATTACGTCTTATGATTGATTTCTAAATGAATTTATCAATATTTTCATACTTATAATAAAAATTTTATCAAAAAATGAAAATCATATACGATGATTTTATAAAAAAGAACTACAAAAGTATTATTATTATATTATTTTTAAATATTTTAAAATTCAAAAATGACTGTTATAACATTTTTTTACAATCGTATTGTTTTTTTTTCATTTTACCATTATATTCGAAAATTCATAATTAATAATATAAAAACTAATTTATAATTAATTATAATTATAGAAATCAATCGTTTAAAAATTAATATTATTTATGAAAAATAATAAAATTTTAAATTACATACATACTTTATTATGCATATGAATTTTAACATAGAGAGACAAAATCATTCCTTTACAATGAATCAGGATATTTTCTATTCATTTTCATAAATGACATCAACAAATATTTTCAATAATCTAAACTTCTTGAGCGCATAAATATTGCGATGTTTAAATTTCTTTGTTATAATGATACCAAAGAGGTCATGAATTTTCTTATTTCATAACTTAGATATTTTCTTATTCATCATAAAAAGAATAAAAAATACAATTAATGTATAATGAGATATGATGTAATACACTTACATTCAAAATTAAAATTTACAATTCGATGAAAATGACAATATTAATTTTCATTTAAGTAGGAATTTTACTAAAACTCAGATAGAATAAAATGTTGTACAAAAGATTCTTAAAAAGAACTCACTCATATTACAATAAAATATAATATGTACACGAAAAAATCAGATTACAAAAAACATTGGCACAAAGATTTTCCCCTCTTGGTATCTATCCTTTTTTTTTTTTTTTTTTTTAATCATATATCAGTTAATCTGAGTATTTCAGAAAACTGTTTTATAAATATGCGCTTTAAAGAGATGATTTTGAGAAAATCGTATTTATGCCTTGAGATTACTCATTTACAATTAATGCGATGATACATTAACATCGTGTTTCGTATAGACCACTTCGGCCTATATATCTCACCCATTTTATAACATCATGATCAGAATAATTTAACTTGGATTCAAATACTTTTAAATAACGAACTTTGAATCCAGAAGGTGCAAATGGTACTTCGAAATTCATAGATATTGGTGGTCGAGTCCATCTTTTCTTCGTATCGGTTTCAAGTAAATCAATTTCTGCCGATAGTTGAGTTTCTTTCATACCAGCCATGCGTTTAATTTTCCATACAATAGCATTTTCAGATGCTTTATACTTTGCTTTCCCTTTTAAACAAATTAATTGTACTCCAGCAGTATTTAAAGGAGTAGGTACTCTAACTTCAATCTTCTGTCCCAACAAAGAAGGTTTAAAGTTTGATTTTAATACTGCCTTCACTTCCATTTTTGTACGTCCTACTTCTCGTACTAATGGAATAACGCGAAATGGCAATGATATATCCTTAGTGGTACGATATCTATGAAATATTACCAAAAAAAAATATCAAATAATTTACATATTACAATTTTACATATTAATTTCTTTCTACAATATTTCTTTCAAAAAATGTTTACCTCATCAACTCAAATTCCCCATCAGGAGGTATGAAACTAATAGCATGCTCTGTCTCAAATTTACTAAGCTTGACACATTGATGAAATTGGCAATCATCAATTACAACCACAGGTTTTCCAGATCTAGCACCTGTAGGATCATCACCACCACCTCCCAAACCGCTTCCACCTTTCATACCTTTAGCTTCCATAACAATTTTGTCATTGATTCCAAATTTACATTCTGGCATTCCAGATAAATAAGATTTCATCACAACCTATTAGAATAAAAGAATTAGATTAATAAATTTCCTAATACTTCAGTTTTTTCTATTTTTATTTTTAAAATAATAACCTTCCCAGCAACATGTGCACTTAATACTTGTCCTTGAGGACTCATTAAAAGATTGACATATTCAAGTACATCAAGGAATAATTCATTTCGTCTATATTTAATACCCTCTCTTCTCCATCCAATTTGACCAGTTACTTGTGAAGTTATTTGAGCTTGTTCTTCCTTTGTTGCTGATTTAACACCTTGTTGGGTAATAAACGTTTTTAATACTCCAGTGTCACAGTTCTGAGGATATCCAAAATCCAAAATTTCTAGACAATAAATTTAATTACACTTTAACATAAAATATTCTATTTAGATATAAAATATTCATAAATATGAATACTTATAGAATATGTAATAATACTCACCATCTAATAATTCATAAATTAGCACAAAGTTGTTCTTGATATTTTCCTCAGAAATCTTACCAAAGTATGACTGCATAACATCAATGATTTTTAATAAAAATTCAAAAACCATTGCAGCATTAACATTTTGTTTAGTAACAGCAGCCAACCAGATATTAGCCCGTTTTATATGAAAAAATGATGTTCTGGCAATGTTAGTAACAGGAGACCGTACTTGTTGTCTGGCATGGATAACATTAACACGAAATGCATCAACTGCATTTCGTCCAATGTCATCTCTATATACTCTGGAGATAAGTACTTCTCCCTTATGATTGTACACAAATAAACCCCCTATCATTTTGACAGAGGGTACCTTTTATTACTTCAATTACAATCAACCTATAAATAAGTAATTTATTTGTTATTATTGGATTATAATTTATGTATTGATAAAAAATTAAATTGTAAAGAAATATATAAAATATATACATAAATATATAAAAATGAAAAAAATATACAAAATATCTAAAATAAAATAATTGCTCTTATATTTGAATAATGAAATAAATTTTAGGTTTTATTTTTCAACTGATAATAAAATTTAGTAAAGTTTAATAAAGAGATAATAAAATTTAATAAAATATATTATAATTATTAAATTATTATATAAATTGAATTGCTTAAAAAATATGTTTACAAATTATATAAAAGAAAATATATTTAACGTATTAGAAATCTTTTAAATGTAATCTTAACCTATTTAATTTTATAATTTTTAATAGAATGATAATTTATAATAGGTACAATATAAAATAAATAAACATGTAAAAAATATTCTAAAATCTATTAAAAAAAAATTACAAAAATCAATGAATACAAAATTGTGATAAAAACATTTTTTAAGAATAAAAATATATCATCTGAATATCATAATAATTATCTTTTAAAAAGGTAAAAAATTTAGTTTATTTAAAAATTAATATATATTTTTTATATAGTATAAAAGGATAACGCCCCTTTTCTTAAATGACATTTGAGGTTCTCTAATATGTCTTGTAAACGGTTAGTATTATTGATCGGAAATGAATGACCTACACCATAGGTATTAATATTATCAAGAATTTTTTGAAAATTATAATATGCAAATATTTACAAATATGAATTTCAAAATTGTGAAAAATTACTTACGCATGACTTTTAGTGCGTTTAATAAAATAAGAGATGCTAATTTGTATCAGCCTCCGAAACGTACAGTAACAGTACCAACCTTCTGATACAAGTGCGAACTATCAAATGACGAAAGCAACACCCACTTCTTTATACTACGTGTCTCAGAGATATATAATATTACAATATTAAAATGTTATTTTGAAATAACAATTAATTGACGTAAAATATAAGAAATTATTGTTCCTAAATTTAAATTCATCTATCTAACGTTACGTTTAAAAATATCTTAATTATACATTTATAGGACAAATAGGGTTGTTGTATTGATTTCAAAACCGGTAGTTGTACATTTATATGCTTAATCACTATAATAAAAATATTAAAAAAAATATTGAATTATATCTGTAAAAAATTTACTTATCCACAGTTTCTTTGTATGTTCAAAAAATTTTTGGTTATGTTGATTCTATTTTTTTTCTTACTCTTATAGTACAGTCAACAAAATATATGCATTAAATAATTCTATACTTTTATTATATTATTTATTATACAATGTAAAATTTGTATTTATTCCGTTTTATAATTATATATAAATTATATTTTAATCGAATAAAATACAAAGTTCAATAATTTATTTGATAAATTTTTAAAACTCTTTTAATAGTCAAAATATAGTATACCAAGTGTTTATATCAACGCTTGCGCGTTGTAATATTTTCGGATACATGTGTACTCAGTATTGCAAAATGATTTGCATATGAAGAAACTGAATATTTCGTTCGTAGTTCTTCTTCTACATAGTACTTCATAGTACAAACAATGAGTGACCAAGATGGAAATAATAATAACCTTACTTTGAGGGAAAATTTAGTAAGTTTCTACCATTCTTTGGGTTATATATACACACACACATATATATATATATATATATATATATGTATATGTGTATATTTATTTAGAAATCCTAATATTTTTCAGAATATCGTTAAGTATGAAACCATACATTGATCTATTATATAAGCATTAATATATATATATATATACATATATTTTAATTCACAAAAATTTTTTAAGGTAAAAACTGCAGTGGAATTTCTACAAAATCCTAAGGTACAAAATAGTCCTATAGGACGTAAACAAGAATTTCTTCAAAGAAAAGGTTTAACTGAAGAAGAGATTAAAAGAGCATTCAAATTAGCTTCTATAGATATAACAATTGATCAAAATGTTAATAATTCAAAGGATTATACCGTGATTCCTATTCCACAAGGTCATATGTATCCGTGCTTTCAACAAATATATCCATGCCAAATAACTATTTTCCAAAGAATAAAAGAATTCTTCAATGCTACTGCCTTAATTGGTGTTACTATATATTGCGTATATTGGTTCTATAAGGTATTATTAAATGTATATGATACAAATGTTATTTTAAAATCATACAAGTTGAACATACTCTATTGTAGAAATTTATTGAACCATTGCTATTTGGCCGGAAAAAGAAAGATAGTATAAAAGATTCAGTCACTGAGTTAGATAAGAGTATTCAAAATTCTATGAAAGAAGTAAAACAATCCATTTCAAAAGTCGAGGAAGATGTACAAAAATTGACACAAAATCAATCTATGGATCCAATGATACCTCAATTGGTACAAGAATTGAAACAAGATTTAGCTAGTCTCAAATCTTTACTTTTATCAAGGTATATATACATATATGTATTTTAATATAATTACATATTGAAACATTAGAATACAATATGTAATCAACAATTTGATAATAACATTTATTGCTATACAAGATGATTATTCTGTTTATACATCATATTCTATTTTATTTTAAATTTATACATTAATCTTAAGATATAATTTTTATACAAAAGTTTATATTTATTCTTTTTATACTGACTCACACACATACAAACATGTATATATTTCAGATTCAATCTCTCAGATATATTTATTTGAAAATACAAAAGTAAAAATTTTTTGAATAAAAGAACTATAAAATATATCAATCAAATTATGATTGATTGACAAAAAAGATATAAAAAACACAGATTCTATATTTTTAATATTCTTGCAAAATTTTGTACTTAGTATTACCAAAGTTCTATAAAATTTGTACATAGAAAGTCAAGGAATTCATAAATATTCGTATATTTACCAAAATTTCAAATTTTAAACAGAAAACAATTTCCAAGTGCACCAACATCAGTGCCAACATCTATATCTATACCAACATGGCAATTAGATGCTGCAGGTACAAGTCAAGAAAAAGCAACTGAACGAGAAGATGATGCTGGAAGTGGAAGTAGCGCTAATAACTCGGATAGTTCTCTAGAAATGATCCGCGAAGATCCACCTAAGGTGTAAAATTAAAATAATTTATAAAAATTCACTTCCATCATAACAGTCTTCGATATATAAAATACTCTGTGATGTCTCGTGAAAGGAATACATGATCATTTGTAATATATATTGAAAATCGATGTTCTTATAATTATTGTATTATCAATTCATTTGTTTTGTTTAATTCTATTTTAACTTTGTACTACAAAATCAGATTAGATATAATTGTTTTATCTAAAAAAAAAACTATTTAAAGCTGATCATAAAGCAAAGAGATACATATAATGCATTATTTTATAAATAATATTAAATTTTCGAAAATGGTAATTGTTACTTAATTTTTTGTTTTCTTATATAGAAAAGTCTAAAGGAATTAGTGTTTGTTCCGCATTGATTATTAGCGTCGATGTTCCATCTCTGCTGTTAAAGGCCTCACATATTGTTTAATAATTTTTATGAAAATAAAAAATTAAATACAAAATAAGAATATTTTCTTAATATTATTCATAACGCAAGAAAGTACATTACTATTTAATATTATTAATTACTTAAAATAAATAATCTATTTAAAATACTTAACAATATTATGGGAAAGGTAAAAACCAAAAATACAATTTATCTTTATAAACTAAATATGTACATTTTAATCCATATTTGAATTTAAAAAGACAATCGCGATACATAGAACCATATTTAATTATGGACTATGTTTATACAAATTATTTTGCAATGTATATTTGAAATTAAAAAATTAATATTTTTTCTTAACATATACATATAGTTGCATGTATGTGATAACAGAACATCCATACATGTACATATAGGTTTACTATGTACAGAAAGACATTATTTTTATTGAGTGTAATATAATCCTGCCTTATCCTATATCTATTACCCATGGCTCTTCTTACTTTGGAATAAATTACTATTAATAATATAAATCCATGTGAGCAACTTGTTTGATATATGTCAATAAATAAACAAATGTTCTCAATTATTTATAATTTATTTGAGAACAAAGTATCATTATTTCATTCTTTTGCACATGGGCATATTTTTTTAAATTGAATTTTTATAATTAAGTAAAACTAACATTTATACATGTACATGCATAATATACATGTATAAATGCTATGTAAAATGTTTAATCGCTTGATTACATTGTTCATTCACTCAATCATCATTCTGCAACAAATACATTTCCCATCATTGTATAAACCATAATAATTTTCAATAGTATTTTTGAATGATGAAATAAACAAATAAAGTATACAGGTATATGCACAATCTATTTACTGTTACTTCATTCGTATTTCTTTTTGATGTATAACATCGTACATAACATTAAACAATTTCCATTTTTCGAAAAATTTATTGAAATCAAATATCCCTTCTTTATAGTTCATTAATACTTCTTTTTATTATTAGATATATTTAGGATAGCTGCCTCACTGATACAGTGAGTTACAGCAAAGTCCGTTTAAACTGTGACTTAGTATTTTTTTTAATTTTTTTTTTTTTTTTATACTATACTTTATGTTTAATAATATTATATATAACAGAAATAATTCGTTTAAAAAATATAACACTTTTTTTATCATGTGTGGCAAAATACTTAAAACGTTTTGTATAATATTTTCACTTAGAACAAAATTATTTCAAGTGAAATATACGTATAAATCTATATTAATTTAAAATCTCAATCTTTGGCAAATACATTTTTTCTTTTTTTAAGAAAGCCCACTTTCTCTCTCTCTCTCGATTTGTGTATGTATATGTATTGTGTACGCATACGTATATATATATATATTATTGCGCACACATGAACATAACGAAAATATCAGGACATTTTGTGCTAATGTAAATAGTTTGGTTAAAGGTCCCATTCCCTTTCAGACTTACTCGCTACGTTTTTATTTTCTAACGAGCGTAGAAAATGAGGACAGGGGGTCAGGGATCATCGTCTCATCATTTAGTCAGCATCCTATATCTATTACCAATAACAATAACCCTAGATTAAACACGCTAAACGTTTTGCAGCTCGATCTCTAATAAATCTAGTTTATTACTTAATCCAAACTATGCTACCAAGTATGATGTAAATGTAAATTCCTTGAAAGAACGGACCGTACATCTTGTGTAAAACGAAGGGCATCCAAAACAGGAAGTAAACTCAACAAAGCAGTATCTCCCGCATCGCTAAACCAAGACTTTATTGGTATTGCGTTATCTGCGATAACAGAAAAAAAAAAAATAGGTATAAATAATTGTTATCTATAATATATAATTAACACATGAATAAGATTTTAGATCTAAAATATCTAAAAATTAAATATTACTTATAAAATTATAGCTGTCCAATATAACATCCAAGAAAATTTTATTACATATATACATTTTGTTTTTATAATAATTGATATATTTCTAAGTTTAGATAAATGAATTTTAAATTATGATTTTCTTGAATGTTGCAGATAAAAAAATATTGAATATAAAAAATAAAATCTAATCTTTAAACTAGTACCTGATACACAGGAATTATTAAAAAAAATGATTAAAACAGTTGAAATTAGTTGAATATCATTGCCAATTCGGCGTAGTGTCCAGTGCTTATTCAAGTGGAGGAGCATTGGCAATTGAGCATATTTTACATCTATCCATAGGCCTGTATTCAGTGCTTGCTTACAGAACATCAACGCTGATAGCTGCAAATAGATATGTTTTTCAATAAAGTTTATCTCAATTTTCAATTTTATTATTTGTTAATCCAGTCAAACTATATAAAGTTGTAAGTCTAAAAATTAAATGATTTGAAACAAAACTATAATATGTCAATATTTCATGTCATTAATGCAGCATCTTTTATTTAAAATAATTACAAAGACAATAAAAGTAACAAATATACTGAAATCACACATATATTTAAATTTTTATTGATATTAAATTTCATATATTAAATGAATTTCATAAAATTATTTTATAAAATTAATTTATAAAATAAAATCACAATGATTAATTTAATATTGATAACTAAATAGATAAACAAATTTATAAAATAACATATTCTAAAAAGAATTTTGTATTAAAGAAATATTAGATGAAAACTATTGTATTAGATGAAAAATACCAATTTCTGAATTTCTAAAAATTGTGATCAATACTTCAAATATGTCTTTAATTAAAATAGACAAACATCAAAATTATAGAGTATTTGAATTCAATTTCTTTATGAACTTAAATTGATTAAAATTTATCTAAAAATAATTTTGAAATATTTATTTAAATTTTTAATTTAGATCAAAATAGGAAATTATTCCACTACACATAATTGTGCTCATGTAAGCAAGTTCTGACTACAGGTTGTAATACATGATATATGATACAACAACAGCAATTTAAAATTATAAAAATTTAGTACCATGAATAAGAATATTATATATTAATATTATATATTATAATATTATATATTATACATAAATTTCTATTTTATTTTTTATTGATTATTTGTACATTTACAATAATTTGTACATAATTATTGTTATATCATACACAAGATTAAAATTAAACAATTTCACAATATACAATTATTTTTAATATATATAAAATAAAATAATTTATCAAATTTAAACAAGCAATTACAATTATAAGAGTAATCAGAAATTAATATCATTAAAATGAGGAAAATAAATGTTATACTTACGAGGATAGGCTCTGTAGGCTCCAGGACTATTATCAAGTATAAAGACTGATGCTAAATCTGAACAAATTGCAGATAAATCTTTAGTATAGGAACCCATTTCTGGTGTACAATGTTGTCTATAATATCTTCTTCTTAATATACCCCTGTTATTATCTAACTTTTCTGCAACAGCTGCACCATAGATTTCCATGGAAGCAGTGAAAACCACTAATTCATACCTTAAAGAAAAAAAAAAAATAAATAGTAATATTTAATATATATAATCAATTATATTAAAAATATCAATTACTCATAATTAATTTAATTTCTTGTTTTTTTTTTTAATGATAATTTTGAAGTATCATCTAATTTTAATGTTTTCTTATTTATTTTATAATAATTAAACTTACCATTGACTAACAATATCTAAAAAGAAATCTACATGTGGTCTTTTATGGACAAAAAATCTGACAGGATGTCTGTCTATCTTCACTTTAAGAATAAAATCTGGTGGTGTACCAAATCTAACTGTTGGCCTTGCCACTCCATCATGATGAGAATGAATTAATGTTTCATCTAAATCCAATACTAATACTTTCCTTTTAACTATACCTATAATATTATTATAATATTATTATCTATACCTATAATTTTAATTATATATAAACAATAATATTTTTTAACACATGCAGCTACTAAAACATAAATAATACTTACTAAGTCTATGCCTTGATAATGGAGACAATGGGAAGATTTCATATTTAACAGGTTGCATTTGTGATATCTAAAAAATTAATCAATTATAAAATAAAAATTATATATTTGATATAAAATATATAATGTTTAGGTTTTACATAGAATAATCTTAATAACATAAAATAAGTAACAAAAATAAAAATGTAGAATAAAAGAAATAACCATTAAAAATTCATTTGTTTTGTGATAAACAAATGTCATTATTTACATTATTATTATAGAATACTTATGTAATATAATGTATAATATATAATATATATTATATATAATATATATATGAGAAATACATATCAAATTTAATATGCATATCATTTGCAATTAAAAATATTAATTAATAATAGTATAGAACATAAAAAAATATATAAAACTACTAAAATTTTTCAAGCCTTTAAAAAAAATAAGGATAATTAAATTTATTATATATAAAAATTAATATCAGACACAAAAAAACAAGATAACAGTGTTAAAAAAAAATTTTTTTAATAATCAAATGGAATATTTTAACGTAGACAACAGTGCATCATTGAATACGTTGTATTATCACAATATGATAATGATAAATATTTATTAGGATCAATAAAAAATTATTGTAAATTGTAAAAAAAGAACTAATTTATTTAATTAGAAAATTGATATAATAAAAGATGTTATGTTATGAAAATCTTAAAGAAGACAAAAGCTGATAGAGGCGCGAAGCACCTACTTACGGCTCTAACCTGCTTCTTGAGAAGAAAGAAGACGCATGTCCACACTCGGGAGGCCATCAAGAGAAAAGCTCTCATCCCCATCTGCAATTGCTTCAGCATCTCTACTGATCTTCTTACCGGGCCGAAGTCCGGCTGCACTTGATCTCCAATCTCGTCTATGTTAGGGTCTCTTTTTCCCTTGCAAACACTTCACTTCACGTTGAAGTATTATACAAACTTTATCGTAAACAAACGATTTTTACACGGATGGGAAACATAGAATCTGAATATTCATCAACATTACGAATCTTCCACCTATAATAGCCTTGTGCACATGTAAATAGATTTTTCCATATTTTG